CAGGCAGATGGACAGGCACATAAAGATGTATCATTTTGTTAAATGGCTTCAGTGAAGATCTTTAGCAGTTGTGGCTTTTGCCCCTGAACTTGTTCTTGTCATGGCAGCACATCACAATTGACACTGCTCACCTATCTTAATGAATATACATTGCTGGTTACTAGCGGGTAGCACAGTATCTTTATGAGACTTTGAAAATGAAGAAACACTCCCAATGTTGTTGTTTTTAAGTCCCCTGTTTGAGAAAATATATCAAAAGTCAAAATCCTTTTGTTATATTAGGAGTCATTTTCTTCTTTGCAAAATCAGGTATGTATTATTGGCCTCTGAACTCACTGGTTCCCGAAACAAGTCCAACAGTCTGATATCATAGTGGCACATCCCTGCCACCCTTCCTTACCTGGACAGAAATCACAGAAGAAATACAGGATTTCTGCATCAGCAGAGGGTATAAAAAATTTCAGACGTTTTCTGAAAGGATCAGATACATATTTAGGTTTCCTTTTCTCCACGGAGGGACCAAAAAAGTAATACTGAAAGATACTGAAAAGTAAAGGCAAGGTGAAGAGTAAGAATATTCCAATGAATATTCATTTTCTTGTGGTCTTGGACCCTCTGCATTCTAAAAAGTCCAGGGGAGGGGAATGAACTGAGGTTTGCAAGAAACGAACAGGTACATGGCACTGGAGGATGTGCTATAGTTCGTGACTCTTTTGTCACCTGATCTAGTTACAGACAGGAACTGTGGCAAGAACTGAGCTAAGCGCACAACAGGAAGGAAGCTAGTCTTTAAAAAGAGTGAAGCAAGCAAGCAAGGAAGGTTTTGCCTTTAATTCATTCTCCAGGCAGTTCCTGTCTTGAGGTCCTCAGTGCTCTAGGCTGTACAAAGTTGCCCCCCCCCAAAAAAAAATGCCTGACTGTCCTTAACACAGAGCAGTTCCACTTGCAGTATGAGATGACACTTGCTATGGGTTTAGTTACCAAAGCTAAATCTCTCGTGCCACCTTCCACCCAAATCATTGTTTTAAACTCCAGAAGAATGAACTGAAAAGTGCAAGACTAGGTTCCCATGTTCATTTATAATTCAGAAATCCACTGAGGTAGCTTCGGAAATTAAAAGGAAATTGATAAGCTCCATTGGCCTTGTTAGTCTTTTTCTTTCTTTCTTTCTTTCTTTCTTTCTTTCTTTCTTTCTTTCTTTCTTTCGGAAGTGGGTGGAAAAGGTTCCCTAGTATGGAAATGAGAACAATTCCTATCTTGCACCAGCACACATGGGAGTTGTGGAGAGGGAGTCTGGGAGGCAAAAGGCCTTTTGAGGGAGGAAGTGACTCTTGAACAGTAAAAGGAAAACACTACAGGCCGTAAGCTGAAAAGGAAAGATTTATGCTTTCCTCCCCTGTGGCCATAACTTCCCTTTCCTTCCCTTCCTGCTGACAAAGCTTCTAGAATACCCTGAGAGATTGTTTTAAAAAACTGCTAGTGCTCTTACAAGCAGCACCCTGTGGAGAGTTCGGGGGAGAAAATGAGGGAGGGTTGACAAGAAAGCTCCAAAATGCCCAGGCTACCTTCTGAGTATTTTACAGGCCATTCTTGTGCTTCACTACAGTGCGGCAGAACATTGTCACCCACGCCCTATCAGCTCTGATGGTACAATTTCCAGAGCACTGTTTAAAATGATAAGTCAACCAGCCCTTCAGACTATCAATAATGAAAGACAGACTGAAGTGTGACTTTAAGCAGCCTTTGGGAAAACAACAATGAGCAATGGAAAATGCTGAGAACATAGTCCTTAGCAATTCTGTTTGCCCTGAGGTGTCTAGCCATTGGCTACCAACTATTCTCACCTCATGTATCTCTGGGCCTTGTGGAACAGCATACCTACCTGCCTGTCAACTTACTGTCAGCCTCTTCTGTGATGGTCCTATCTTTACAAAAATTCTTAGAAAGTGTGCCCAGCTCACTTCCTAACTATTTTAAGCATGTCTTAAAAGACCTGATTATTCCACATTGCTTTTTATAGAATGAAAGCCCAATTTTCATACTCTGGTTTGTTTCTCCTTCTTTTTAGTTATTTTCATGCTGTTTTAACAAGCTATTTTATATTTTACATTTTAACCTCTTACTTTTTGTAAGCACCTTAGGGAGGATTTTTTCTCAAAATAAAATACAGTATATAAGTATTTCAAATCAATCGATCAATAACTATTCTCCCTGAACTGCAGTGCTGTAATTTGAAGAGGTGCTTTGAGAAAACTAATAGATATGCAAATATAACATCATGGCATTTGTGATCATTCACCTGAAATACATCTCCCCAAATGCAATGTCTTCCCAGGGACAGCTGTGAGGAAAACACACCCTAGCAGCAATTTTAAGAGGCATAATTACACCAGTAACCTATAAACTTATCCTCTCCCTCTTTCCCATTGGCATGTTTAAGAAATCCAATGTCTAAAAGTTAAACATTCACATGCTGCTGATTTAAAAAGTTCCCACCATATGGTGGACATCTCACTGGTAAATAACAAATTCCTCTGAGATATTAAACATATTAAAGGTGATTGTTTTTCTTTTAATATTTAAAGCAGGCAACTCTACAAGGAAAGACAGTTTTAAGAACTGAAATACATAGCAACTTAATAGGTAAGACAGCCCGATTTTGTTTACCGATTCTACTAATACATTCTACCTTTTTGAAATACTGTAGTGAACTTGCATAGCACTATGAAAAATTTACACCTAAGATCACAAAGTAGAAACATCATGTGATTATTCAGTCACTATTTTCTAAGAAACCATTTGAACATAGGAATTCTACACAATAGTTAAAATTCTATTACCTATCCCCACTGATATAATGCAATAAGTGCAATAAGTTTATATCTCAGTGGTGAATTGATGCAAATTAGGAAGTCAGCATAGGCAGTTGTTTTAGCGTGCTAAGTCATGCAACATGAAGTATAACAGCAAACACATATGCTGATTTCTTAACTTACGGCAATTTGCCACAAAGATTTATGCTGTCATAAACCAGCATAAAAATGCAACAGGATTTTGGCTGCTATGCGTTCTTAGATCAAAAGATCCAGTTTAATAAAATGGCAGCTTTATCTTAAAATAAACACCACACATGGATGACATGTGTGATGTTTATTTTAATATATAGATAATAGGTGGCTGCTTGCTTAAAATGTAATATTGATATTTAAACATGTTGCATATAGAATCATAGAATGAAGGAACTGGAAAGGGCCTATAAGGCCATCAAGGCTGCTCAGTGTTCCACATTTAAGATCAAACACTGACCCTCATGCTCTGTCACTAAAAATTATGTTTTGCTAATCTACACTCTAAGAGTAAGTGTGATGCCCACAGTGTTGGCACTTGTCTTTGACCCCTGCAGCTCAGAGAGTACCCAAATAGTACCATGTCAATAAAACAAATTTAAAAAATTACAACCAGATAAAATTAATCCACATATACCTATATATACACAGAAGCTTCCCTGGCCTCTTTTAGCATGAACAGTAGAGCTGATATGGATATGTTGCAGAACTCTGTGAGTTACAGTAGATGGAATACTGATATTTCACATGACAAAACAGATCGAATCTTATTCTAGTGCAACCTGCCTACTACCTACAAATGCATTTAGTTATTCAGATGTGCACATCACAGGAGGCACAAGATAGCTACCTGTCCTGATGCTATCTGAGAGCAACTGATTCGTTCACATATTTGATGTGATATCCGTAACTACCTCTGGGTGACTGACTTTAGACTTTGTTTGCTCTGTATCAGTTTTATTCATATCCCTGCCTCCGCTGTATTCCCCTGGTATCAGACTGATAGAGAACACCATGTGGATCTAGCTTTATTGCCTTGAATCCTAAGGTAACGGAGTGCAGTTCACAGAAGGAAAGTTTCCCACCCACTGTTTCTCTTAGCAGCTGCCATGTCTGCACCTGCTGAAGTGCATCTCAGGGGTAGGGAAGGGGTGTGAAACTCTTTTCCTCCCACACAGGTCAGGAGGATCCCTAACCATCAAGCAAAGCTTCTGCAAACTTTCTTCCATTTACAATCCAAGCCACAACTAGTAAGTGTGCGATGATCTGCCCAGGTACATAGACACAATGAACCAGCAGAAAAAACATTGACTGGCATATTCAACTGCTATCTTCTTCAAATACAGACCCACTTAGGACTATATTCTGTATTATGTCAAACAGGCAATGAAAGGAAAAAGGGGAAGAATTAGAAAATCTAGAACAGCAAACCTATAACACTAGATAGACTGTTATGACATTTGTTTTGTATCACAGTTTTCATCCTTTCTAACTTGTTGCCTTCATGTTCTCCCAGAACTTATGAAAGTTGTTTGGAGGGACGATAATGCCCAGGATCCTGCAACCAGTGTATACCATGCTGGCTGGGAGATTCTGGGAACTGTAGTTCCCCAAAGTTGTTTTCAGGGAAGTTGTTTTCAGGGAAACAGGAAATGAGGAATCCTGCAACCAGTGTATACCATGCTGGTTTGGAGATTCTGGGAACTGTAGTTCCCGAAAGTTGTTTTCAGGGAAACAGGAAATGAGGGAGGGAAGGGTACTTAAAATCAGGAGAGGAAAGAAGGCAGCCCAAGTATTTTTTTACATCTTGATACCTCAACAGAAAACCGGAAAACACATTCTCAAATTTCACATAAGCTGGATACAAGCAAACAGATATATCTAGGAACTGATCTTCCAATGATCCTTTAGGCCAGGACTGTGATAAAAATGCTATGTAGGGTAACAGAGTGCCCATGCAGTTTGCACTGCATACATGATCAGAGCTTGAAAACATTACTTTTATAGGGGGGCAAGCTTGGGGGTATTCTAAGAGTGCAGTCCCCAAAAGTAACATTTGCCAGCTCTGTACATGAAGAAGAGAGGACACTCATCATCAACATCATCATCTATTACTCTTCTGGTCTCTCCCTCTCAGTTCCTTCTGCTTCTCACCCCTTTTGTTGGTTTGAAACAACTGCCCTGGGGATTTCTGCTTACACAGTTCTGAAAGGCGGCAATAATAAAGGCTTTGTCCAATAGTAAATAAACAGGTGGTGAATATGGTGGTTGCTCACAAACAAACATAATAATCCTGTAAGTTATCAAACATGCTCCAGCTGAATCCCCATCTTTCTCACACTGGTAACCAGATCTCTGGCCCGGAATCGACTTCAGTGACCCTGTTAGGAACGTGCAGCTCCTCTCCAGTTGCTAAAGGCATGCTCTCGGGTTCACAAATGTCACCGCCGAAACCCCGTCGGCTTCTTCTACCTCTGTCTCCTTGGGCTGACTTCTTTCCTGGCAGGACTTTTCACTGAAGCAGGCGGAATTCTGGAAACAGGAAATAATCCTCCCTCTTCGCCCTCCCTCCTCTCGTCCCCCACCCCACCCCAAAAAATCCTTCCATGGCCCTCTGCCTGTTTTGCCCAGGTTCTGGAGACAAAAATGCATTGTGGCTAAATATAAACTGACAGTTTGGGGCTGGGCTCTCATGTTACAGAAAGACAGTTCCCCGTCTGTATTGGAGGGAGGTAGCAGCGTCCCAGGAAAGAGAGAGAGAGAGAAAGTAAGGGGGTGGGGGTGGGGAGAGGACCGGACAACAGCAATCCTTCTCCTTCTTAACTACTCAAGAAAGAAAGAAAATAAAGAAAATGCAGCTAATCAGCTTCCAGTGCCATCTACACATTCACACGAGTGATTCCAAAGTTTTAGCCCTAGACTCATTCCGTGCAAATGACTGGCCTTTTTGGATCCCTCCTTTGACAGTCTGCTCACACTGTATTTTCATTCTTTCTGCTCTTTTTTCTCACACCCGCCCACGCTCATAAATGCAGGAAAGAAAGGGGTAAAGTTTCAAGAGCACACTTTAGAAAGAAGATCTCTCTTCAAGCAGGGGAAGGAGCCTTCCCCTCCCCCCCAAAAAAACTCCTTTACAGAAANTCCTTTTATGCATTCACAAAGCCCCCCCCCTTTATTGTGGTGTGACAGTCTCGCCTTCCTGTCCGCAGTCCAAAGAAGGATGAAGCCGAACAGCTGGAAAGGGCCAGGGGTAGAAAACCAGGAGAAAGCGGCTCTTGTTCAGATGCTTCTCGTCTGGTTCTTGACCATTTACCACTGGAAAAGGAAACAGCACATGTGTCACTTGGCCTCTCCTGCTCACATGAGGAGGGGAGGGGCGCTAGTTTTCAGATAAGCACTAACTTTTTTTTTTAACATTTAGTTTTCCTATCCTGCAGCTGGCTAGGACCTTTCATAGTCAACAAGCTGAGACAAATATATCTTTATCATGTCGGCTA